GGATTATTGCCTTAACCATCTTGTGCATATAAATGTATGGTTTTGCCCCTGTCATTTTTCCTAGCTTTTCCCCTTGTCCTCTCTTCATTATTTAATTCTTAAGTTCTCACTTTCCTTTTAATTGTGTTATAACTTTCTATTTTATTTCTTCCTTTGGTTTCTTACACTTGGAACTATATGATATTTACACATGTGGGTCTGGTTTATTTCACTTATGGGTGTACCTTCATGTGGCATCCACTTATATATGAAGACTTTGAATTTATTATTCTTTATAGATGAGTAATACTCCATTGTATAAAAATACCCTATCTTTTTCATCCATTCCTCAGGTGATGAGCATTTTGGTTGCTTCCAAGATTTGGCTGTCACAAATTGTGCTGCTATAAGCAGGTGCACAAATATCACTGTAATATGATGTTTTCAGCTCTTCTGGGAAGATTCTTAGTAGGGGAATAGCTGGGTTGAATGGAATTTCCAGTCCTAGTTTTTATAAGGAGTCTCCACACTGATTTCCATAATGGTTGCACCAGTTTATGTTGCCAACAACAGTGGAGAAGTGTTTTTTTTCCCCACAGCCTCTCCAACATTTGTTGTTGTGTGATTTCTTTATGATAGCCATTCTTTCTGGGGTGAGATGGTATCTCATTGTTGTTTTAATTTGCATTTCATGGATGTCTAGTGATGTGGTGCATTTTTTCATATATTTATTCACTTCTAGAATTTTGTCCTCTGAGAAGTGTGTGTTCATCTCAGATGCCCATTTCTGGATTGGGTATTTAAATTTTGGGGCCCTAATGTTTTTTAATTCTTTATAAATTCTAGAGAGCAGACCTTTATCTCAGTGCTTATGATTTAAGATTTTTTTCCCAATTTGTAGGTTGTATTTTTACTTTGTTGGTAATTTCTTTTGATGTGCCAAAACTTCTCAATAAGATGAGATCCCAGTTGTTAATTCTTTCAAATATTATCTGTATGATTTGATTTTTGTTCATGAAGTGTTTGCCTACCCCTATGTCTTCAAGAGTTCCTCCCACTTACTCTTCCAGAAGATTTAGTGTTTCCGTTTTAATGTTTAGATTTTCTTTTATTTAGAGCTTCCTATCAATGCTCCTTTTTAAATTTTAGTTTTTATTAGTTCACATTTGCCATGTAAAGCCATATCTCTAGTCTTCATCATGGTGAATTGTGTACCTAACACATGCCAACTCTTCACTTCCTCTTGCCTTCCCCCTCCTCTCCCTACTCTCCATCTCTTGGTTGCCTCATAGTATTTTTTTTTTTTTTTTTTTTTTTTTTTTTTTTTTTTTTTTTTTTTTTGCAGTAATGGGGATTGAACTCCGGACCTTGCACTTGCCAGACAAGCACTTATTTTACTGAGCTATCTCCCCAGCCCCTTAATGTTTAGATCTTTAATCCATTTTGACTTTAGCTTAGTACATGGTGATAGACCTGGATCAAGTTTTAGTTTTCAGCATGTAGAGAGCCAGTTTTTCCAGCACCATTTGTTAAAGAGGTTATCAGATTACCCTTTTTAGATTGGGTCCGGTTAATACTTCGAATTGGGGGACCTGCTTTTTAAATTTTCTTTATATGTTCTAGGTAGAAGTCCTTTGCCCGAGGGAGAGGGAAAAATTCGTCCCAATTTGTGGGTTTTCATTTGTACTCTGTTGGTGATGTCTTTTGACATTCAGAAACTTTTCAAAAAGATGAGATTCCAGTTGTTGATTCTTTGAGGTATTTCCTGTGTGGTTTGTTTTTTGTTCATGAACTCTCTACATACCCCTGTGTCTTCAAGATTTCTATCTACTTTCTCCTCCAGTAGATTTAGTGTTTGTATTTTAATATTTAGATCTTTGATCCATTTTAACTTTACTTTAGTGCATGCTGATAGACGTGGATGTAACTTTCGCCTTTGGCATGTGAAAAACAAGTTTTTCTAACACCATTTATTAAAGAGGCTATCTTTATTCTAGTGAAAATATTTGGACCCCTTGCCAAGGATAAGGTGACTGTTTATAGTTGTGTGTGCATCTTCTAATCTGTTCCACTGATACTCAGGTCCCTTTTTTTTTTTTTTTTTTTTTTTTTGCCAGTACTATGCTGATTTAATCACAGTGGCTTTGTAGTATAATTTCGTGTCAGGGACTGTGTTGCCTCCTACCTTGCCTTTGTTGCCTAGGATTGCTTTTGCTATTCTAGGTCTCTTCTGCTTCTAGATGAATTTTAGGAATGTTTTCCATAGATCTGTGAGGTATACTAAAGGTATTTAGGGATTATTTTACGAATAATCTAATCTGAAGCTTAAAAATGACTTACTTTGATTTTACTCTAACTGATACATACATTGAAAAGTCAAGTTAATACTTTTATGCAGATCTTTGCTGCTTCTAGTAGAAAAGTTTGTTTGTAAAATCTTTTTCTATATCAGCAGTTCATTGGCAAGCCTATATAGTCATTTATACATTTGTTCATCAAATATTTATTGTGGCATATTTTTAGGGTAGATACCAGGCTTCATACTGGGAATAGAAAAATAAAGGGAGCACAGTCACTTCTCTTAAGGAGCCTAATCAAATAAGTATTACTAAGTAAACAACATTAAAGCACAAAAGATACACAGAAATATTATCATATTAAGATATAGATATTAGTGCAAGAACCTGAAAGAATAATTAGAATCTGAAAGGTACTATAGATTTAGTAAAATGGAAAGAAACTGAATATAAGGAAGAAACAATTGAAATGAGGGAAAGGAGAAAAGATAGGAAAAAATGAAGAAGAAAAATCATTGAAGTATATACACAGAATAGTTAAGATGATTGTACTACTAATTTCTATCAGTTTTGTGAAGGTAGCAGTTAATGTTTAAAATTTGTGCTTTGACCAATTTTATGTGATAACATCTGTAGTGTGAGCAGCTACATTGAAGACAGCAGTGTGCAACGTAACAACCACTGTTGAATACTTTTCATCTTGTTTTTTAAAGTTGCGTATTATTTCTAATGTCTTATCTGTTAGTTTTATAATCTTTAAAATAAATTTGAAAAATAAAAAGCACAAGGAAAAACACTAAGGTTTATTGAAATGAAGAGTTACTGTTTAATTGTTTGGTCAATCTTGCATGCCTCTATCTTGTAAATACGAGCAGCAAATTTGATAACAATGTGCAATATAACAACCATTATCAATTTTCTATACTTGTTTTGAAATTCTCTACCATTTTTATTGTTTTTTGTTGCTTTGGTTTTGGCTTTTTTCTTCTTTAGAATATTTCTTTTTAGGAAAGATATAGCTATAGATGTGAAATATTGCACAGGGGACACCATTACATCAGATGATAGATCTCACAAGAGAATTTGGATCTGAATTGGGTTTTAAGGAACAGGTTCCATTGGAGTCTTGGGGTCAAGACAGGGTACAGAGGTATGAGAAGGCATTGAGGATTGGATGGCAGAATAAAGACATAATGCAACAATGGCATGCAGCATAAGAACTTGTACAGTTAAGAGTAAGGGAATGTGGCAGCGCAGTGACAAAATTATGTTGGCGACTTGTAGATAGTGAAGCTGTCTGCAGCATGGTCTTCGGAGACATGCAGTAGTGTTCCGTGTTGGCCATGGCCAATTACCTGATTAGTGGGGGCACATCCTACATCCTGGACGATGGACTTACAACACAGCAGCTCTTCAACTGTGGGGATGGCCTCATCTACAACGATTTTCTCATTCTCCCTGGGTACATGGACTTCACTGCAGACCAGGTGGATCTGACTTCAGCTCTGACTAAGAAGATCACTCTCAAGACCCCACTGGTTTCCTCCCCCATGGATACAGTCACAGCAGCAGGGATGGCCATTGCAGTGGCGCTCACAGGTGGTGTTGGTTTCATCCACCACAACTGTACACCTGAATTCCAAGCTATTGAAGTTTGTAAAGTAAAGAAATATGAACAGGGATTCATCACAGACCCTGTGGTTCTCAGTCCCAAGGATCGAGTGTGAGATGTTTTTGAGGCTAAGGCTCAGCATGGCTTCTGTGAAATTCCCATCACAGATACAGGCCAGATGGGGAGCCACTTGGTGTGGGCATCATGTCCTCGAGGGATCTTGATTTTCTCAAGGAAGAGGAGCATGACCGGTTTCTAGAAGAGATCGTGACAAAGAGGGAAGACTTGGTGGTAGCCCCTGCTGGCATCAGACTAAAAGTAGCAAATAAAATTTTGCAGCACCGCAAGAGGGGAAAGTTGCCCATTTTAAATGAAGATGATGAGCTGGTGGCCATCATTGTCCAGACAGACCTGAAGAAGAACACGGATTACCCACTGGCCTCCAAAGATGCCAAGAAACAGCTGCTGTGTGGGGCAGCCATTGGCACTCACGAGGATGACAAATATAGGCTGGACTTGTTGGCCCAGTCTGGTATAGATGTTGTGGTTTTGGACTCTTCCCAGGGCAACTCCATCTTACAGATCAATATGATCAAGTACATCAAAGAAAAATACCCTAATCTCCAAGTAATTGGAGGCAATGTGGTCACTGCAGCTCAGGCCAAGAACCTCATCGACACAGGTGTGGATCCCCTTTGGGTGGGCATGGGAAGTGGCTCCATCTGCATTACCCAGGAAGTGTTGACCTGTGGGAGGCCCCAAGCGACAGCAGTGTACAAGGAAGGTATCAGAGTATGTAAGGCGCTGTGGTGTTCCTGTCATTGCTGATGGAGGAATTCAAAACGTGGGTCACATTGCCAAAGCTTTGGCCCTGGGGGCCTTCACAGTCATGATGGGCTCCCTACTGGCTGCCACCACTGAAGCCCCAGGTGAATATTTCTTCTCTGATGGAATACGGCTAAAGAAATACCATGGCATGGGTTCTCTTGATGCCATGGACAAGCATCTTAGCAGCCAGAATCTTTACTTCAGTGAAGCTGACAAAATCAAAGTGGCCCAAGGGGTATCCGGAGCTGTTCAGGACAAGGGGTCTATCCACAAGTTTGTCCCTTACCTGATTGCTGGCATCCAGCACTCCTGCCAGGACATTGGTGCCAAGAGCTTGACCCAAGTCCAAGCCATGATGTACTCTGGGGAACTGAAGTTTGAGAAAAGAATATCCTCAGCCCAGGTGGAAGGTGGTGTCCACAGCCTTCACTCGTATGAGAAGCGGCTTTTCTGAAAAAGAATCTATCACACATCTTGGTTTTTCAATAAAAGTTTGGAAAAAAAAAAAAAACAGTAAGGGAATGTGAAGTTGAAAAGGTAGCTTTGGGGGAATTTGAGTGCTAAACCATTGTAGACAGGGGAAGTGCTTTTTCTTTTAATGTATTTAGTACAGGGTCTACAGGGTCTTACTACACAGATTGGACTCATAGATCCTCCAGTTTTCAGCCTCCCAAGCGCTGGGATTACAGGCCTGTGCCACCACATCCAGTCTCAGTGTGCCCCCGGAGCGGGGCTGGCAGGGCATGCCAGGGATTGAACCCTGGTCTCTTTGTCTGCCTAAGCAGGTGCTTTAATCCACTGAGCTATCGGCCAACCCTGGGAAGTACTTTTGTGGCTGGAGAAAGGCACTGTGTTTACCCTGCTTCTTGGAGTATCTTCCTCCTCCTTCTCCTAATCTTCCTTCTCCCCCCTTATTCCTATAGCCACTTTCAGAGAAATATGGCTCAAGCCTCTCTCTGCCTGTGTCTCTCTCTCTCTCTCTCTCTCTCTCTCTCTCTCTCTCTCTCTCTCTCTCTCCTCTGCCCCACTCCTCAGAGCTGTATGCTTCCTTTTAGTTTCTGCCAATATCATCAATCAAGAGATCACATATCACTTCAAGGGCAGAGTCTGTGGTGGCTCCATTTTCTGTTATAACATGTGTGACTTTGGCTGGTCTCCAGTTAATAAGGGTGTGGTGCCAGATGGCTGAAATAAGTTGGAAATAACAAAATTGTCTTATTGCTATGGGCACCAGACAGTGTGAGGCAAATGACCTGATGGTGAGTGGATGCAAAGGTGTTCCTGGCTTGTAGGACCCTTTTCCTTCTGTCATAATACAGAGAATCATCTAGGAAGAATCTTTAAATTCCATAGCTCAGGGCTACCTGGACAGGAGAGGACAAAGTATAGATTTGATAGTAGGAAGAAAGATCTGGTAATGTAAAATATAGCAGACCAAGAATCTAGAAGGATCAGGAGGTTTTAACGTTTGTCAGACACTTTCTTTATGCTTGGTTCTGTACTTAGATTTTTCACATACATTTGCAAAAGCTGTACAAGCCTGTTGCATTCCATAATGCCCATATTTGGCATATCATAAGGAAAAAACAAAAGCATGCAATGTCTTTGCAAAAAAATTTTTTTTTTTTTTTTGTAGCTGAAAGTTCACCATATTTGGGCAGTACTTAAGTTGCAGGAGAGTCTTGCAAAATATTTTGTGTGTATGCAGATAGCATCGGCTGTGGACTTTCTGCCTTTAGCCTGAACACTGCTTATACATTTTTATTCTTTGAATGAGGAGAAGCAGAGACTGCTAAGTGTCCGGAGGCCCAGGATGGTTTTTCATGCTGGTTTGTGTGAAGTAGCTCTGGAAACAGCCTTTTTTTTAAGCAAAACTTTCCTCTCAAGTGTAGAGGTGTGCAGCCCATCTTTATTGTATGAAGGCCCAGCACTCCATAGTCTGTAGTAAGCCATGTTCAGATGACTCATGTGTGAAATCTTTTTTTAAACAATGAGTTCTATAAAATATGATTTATTATAGTATCATTCATATTAGTCAGTTTAATAACTTACAAGAGAAAATTTTGCTTATAAGTGAAAGAAAACCAGCTTATGCATATGGGGCAAATTATTTGCTTTCTAAAGCCAGAAGTAGATTGAATAGCCAAACCACCAAAAGAACAAGACCCATGAAAACAGAGACTGGATGTTGCTAGAACAACATATACTGGCCTTTCTATTCTTGGCTTCTCTCTGTGACTTCACTTTATTCTCCTTCTCTATAGCCCAGCCTCTTCCATGTGTTGGAATATGGCTGCAGACAGTTTCTTCTGCCTTTGCAGGGAAATTGGCCTACCCTTCATCACAAATCTTGAAGAAAGAACTAACTAGTCTTGACCTAGATCAACCAGCTGATCCCAGGGGCTAGAAGCTGTTGGTTTTCACAAACTCTAGGAATCTGGACCTGGAAATAAGGTCTAGAAGAGACAGGGACTTCCAAGAGAATATGGGGAATCAGGCAGGCAGTATCACAGATGTCCACTGTATCAGCTCCTACTTTGTCTTCTACAAAACGGTATGTAAAGGATTTAGATAGAAATTTTATCTACCTTTTCTTTCTTTTTCTTTTTTTTTTTTTTTTTTTTGTGGGATCAGCGATTGAACTCAGGCCCTTACACTTGCCAGGGAAGTGCTTATTCTACTGAGCCATCTCCCTGGCCCAAAAGAAAGCCTTAACAGTAGTGGTTTTTTTGTTTCTTGTTTTTGTCCCCAGAACCGGGGATTGAACTCAGGCCCTTGTGTTTGCCAGGCAAGTGTTTATTCCACTGAGTCATCTCCCCGGCCTGCCTTTTCTTAAGTTACGATGACATACTAAGAATGTGATAAATGGTGTTCACATCTGTTCTGTGTGATTAATTAAAGCTCAGTTTTGTTTTCCTTTTTTTTTTTTTTTAGGGGAGGCAAGATTTTGGATAAAATTTGACACAAGTTTCATATAAATAGGTCTGCATGAAGTGTAGTAATTCAGAGGTATCCCAAGATGCAGTTCAATATGCTTTATAACACAACTACAAAATGGATGCTTTAAGTAAATCTTGAGGGTTCTTCCTATCACTAAAACTACAGTTGTGAAGAAAATAGAGGAAACCTCTCTCTACAGATTCTTTAACAGCTTTACTGAATAGAGAAATAGGCAGAGGCAAGAAAACATCATTGGTTGACTCCAAGGACCTTGGCTGTGCAGCAAGCTTCTTGTCTCCCAGTACCTCTTATGCCTAGAGAAAGGCTCCACTGCATGTTTTAGGAATATCATTGCCAATAAAATGATATTGGCATCAATAAAAGCTGGTGGGTTTCAAGGCTTTGTCTGTTAGCTGAAGTAATAGATGGCACAGTACTATTTGACCAACAGCATCTTCATCGTCATTATTTTAAAAGAGTTAGTATGTAAATAAACCTCTAAAGTTTATTTATATAACATGTGTTTCAATTTAGCTTTATAAACAGCAGCTATAACCAACATATTAAGGAAAAGTACAGCTCTGTAAGCAGATTCCTGCATAAATGAAAGCCGTGAAATGGTCTTTGTTTATGAAAATTAGCATGATGTAAATTTGTTTAAAAACTAACTCCATATTGTATCATGACATCTTGTAATAATGAACTCAAGATGTCATCACTTATGGGAGACATGGGCAGGTGGCATTGGCTCTGACCTAGTATCCTGAGCTCACCCAGTAAGAGCTGGCCATTTCAAGAACATTGCAATTATCCTTTTCTTACCTGACAATCAGTGCTTCTTATTTTCATTGAGTAGATTTAACCAACCATAGAATATATCCAGCCGTACATTATTGAATGAATGTTGATATTATAGCCTTAGAATTCCACTGTGCTCACTAGGGTATCTGGAGAAGCCACCCCTGAGTCTATGTGAAGATTTAGAAAATATACTTTACCTGGCAGAGGTGACCACTACAGCCTGTAGTCTTTATACCTTTATAGATTTTAAGTTTCTAAAAGTAGACAATAAAATACATAAACCATCTAACTGGAATACTTGTGGAGTGCCTTTTGCAAGTAAGGTCATCTGTCTTGGAGTACAAAGAAATATGTAGTGGTTGTTCATGGTCTTTTAGAGTAGTGATGATGTAAACCTTTTAGAGATGAGTGCCCAAACTGCAACCCAGCACCGACTTACTTATTGCTAAGTGTCAACACTGCAATTAAGCCTGAATAAGACAGTTTGTAGTTTAAAAAAAACCCCAAAACCTCATACATTAACATTTTTTATTTCAAAGAAAAATATAATAAAACTTGTGCATAGGTTTGCCACACTATCTTAGAGCACAGAGGATTTAGACATTAAATAGAGAACAAGTAAATACACAGTAACTCTGGTACCTGTCCTGCACATGGCTTCTCAAGTTCTTTAGATCTTTCTTTGCTGATTGATACTGAGTCTTTCTAAGCCCAGTAGCATGTAGGGGTAATGGAAGGGGTCATATGGCATTGTGATCAGGAGTCCAGATTCTGAATCAACATATTGGAGTCCAAAACCCATTTCCAGCCAGGCATAGCTGTGCAGGTCACGCAGTACTAACCTCACTTAGTGTATTTCAAAACTAAGATTCTGTTTCAACTATTTTTAGTTTTGCATACCTTGTCAAAAAATAAGCTATTGTTTTTGTATAACAAGATCTAATTTATGGCTACTGTAGGAACATTAGTTAATCTCTAGTCTAGTTTAATATCATTTAAATATTAACTAAATGGTACCAAACCAGAGACTTTGAGGGCCACCCCTCAGAGGAATGGCAAGGGAAGTGGTCAAGGATGTAGCTAGCTCATCAGCTGGAGTACAGAGAACTCACTGCTGTGGCTTCCATGCCCATGGACCATGAGCTCATCACTGATAAAATGCTCAGAGAGCAGGTACTCATGCCATTCTGTTTTTCACTTCTTTTCTAAGGATGTAAATGAAGATCCTGGTGAAGATGTAGCCCTTCTTTCTGTCAGTTTTGAGGACACTGAAGCCACCCAGGTGTACCCCAAGCTGTACTTGTCACCCCGAATTGAGCAGTAAGTATCAGCATCTTCATGTTATTAGCCTGGTGTTTCTACTTGCTAACTAATGTATTTCACTTTCTTTTGCCATACATGAACTTTATTAACTTTATTATCTTTTGTTTCCTAAAAATTCATCATAGTTGGAGTTTTGATTTGCAGATAGTATTTGCTACTGTGATCTTTTTGTGGATCTTACTTGTATACTTAATGGCCTGAATACTGTGGCCCTAAAATACTTGAGAGAGAAGTAGATAGACTAAGCCCCAAATTCTTAAGACTCCTCTCAGAGGTCCCCTAGGGTACAGGTGGCTTTATCCTGAAGACTGCTGGACAAATCTGACATCACTTTTTACATATTGGTAACTATTAGAGTTATTTGTGAAAAAATAAGTAACTTCTTTAAAATATTAAACAAAAACATATTCAGAAGTTACTAAAAGTAATATTAAAACCAGATAGTTTAAAAAGATGTTTAAACTATTTTTTGTTTAGATGGCTGTATGTAATTTTATGCAACATCCAGCTACACAGTAGAAGTAGTTTGATTGCACACTTGTGTTCCAATCAAGAAATTTTACTCATCAGTAATGAATTTTATAAGGACTAGCTTCCCAGTGTGCTTATTGTTGGCTAAATGCTTTTTAGTAGCTTTTTCTACTTCAAGGAAGGCTGAGGTTCATAAGCAGATTTGGTTGGGAACTTTTGACAGGACAAATTTTTCATCAGCAAAGAGAGTTTTTAAAGACTCTGACTGAAATATATTATTAAAGTTCTCTGTAAGTCAGTTAATCAAGGTTGGCTGATTTCAGTCTGTGAGTAGAGTGGTCGCCATCCAGCATTCTTATGCTGAGCCATTTTCACTCCCTCTGACCTTATTTGCTCTGTTATGAATCATAGGCATCCAAAACTGATACAATAAAGCTGCCTTTGCTTAACTGTGAGAGACTATGACTATCAGTATGCCACAGGAATTGTCTCATGCATTTACATGCCTCTAGGAGCACCTAGAAAAGGTTTTACAGTAGTAGGTGTTCATTGTACATCCTGTATTTGAATCAAAACTACTGGCCTCTGTTAGTAAGAGGCTGGACACAGCTGCTAGAGGTAGCAAGGTGAACTGTAATAAGCAAGGGTTCTCAAGTCAAGAACATCTGCTTTAAACCCAGATTCTGCCTCTCACCAGCTAATACTGTATTTAAGCTCTCTGAATCTGTATCTTCAGTTATACAGTAGAAATTATAACACTTATTTCATTGTGTTGTCTTGAGGATTCTATTAAATACTGTTAATAAAACATTAATTGTGGTGCCTGGCACTATAGCAAACATTCAAAAAATAGTAACTGGTAGTGTTACCATTATTACAGGTGTAGTTCATAGCAGAAGAATGAGTGAGTGAGTGGTTAGCAGGAACAAAATAGGGGCAGGAAAGACAGAAATGAGTAAATAATTGAGCAGATACTAGTTCTTTAGTAGTCACTCAGCATTTGAGAGGCTGAGTCTGGAGAATTTCAAGTTTGTGACTGACATGGAAAACTCTGCAAGATTATTTCAAAGTAAAATTTTTAAAAAGGGTTGGGAATGTAGCTCAGTGATACAGTGCCTTTTTCATATGTGGAGTCCTGGAGAAAGGCCCAGTATTGCCAGTGAACCAACAAAATGTTAATGAGGCGGTCTCAGGATGTGGAGAAAATGAACACAGTAGTGCCTTGGCTCATGAACTTAATTTGTTCTGTGATTTTGGAAAAAAAAAATCATATTTGTGGGGAAGATGGCCAAACTCATGTTTGTCACCTGATGCAGTTTGCAAACAAAAACAAAATTTTGCCAAATGCTCCTGTAATCCCAGGACTTGGAAGGCTGAAAACAGGAGGATCACTATGAGTCTGATCTGTGTAGTGAGACCCTGTAGATCCTGTCCTTAATACACTAAAAGAAAAATTGAAAAAATAAAACAAGACAAAAACAAATAAAAAACAATAACAAGACTCATTCCCTACCCTGCACAGCTTGCAATTTAGCAAAAGATTTTTAAAATGTGTATCACAAATGAAACCTATGTGGGTAAATCACAAGGTTAACATAAATTCAGATCTGGGGAAGGCTAGACTGATTATGTTAAGGAAAATGGCTGGCAGAGATGGTATCAAAACAAAGTCTTGGCAAATACCTATTTCAACACGAAGAAGTATTTGCCAGAATTTTGCCAAATGCTTCCATGTTATTTGTAGCCAAAGAGTTCTGTGACCTGAGGCACAAATGGACATTAGATAAGCCATAAGAAAAAAGTGCCAGCTCAGAAAACATTTACCCCATCAGTAAAATTATTGTTCTTTGCAGTTCTTGTACCTAGTTTGCACATAAAATATTTTCACTCTGAAAACCTAAGATACAGTGAGAAAAACTAGTAAGGAAGGGTGTATGTATGTATGTATGTATGTATGTATGTATGTATGTATTATGTTTGATTGCTTCAGGGTCTCACTCTGCAGCTCAGACTTGTAGTGATCCTCCTGCTGTCAGCCTCCCCAGCATCAGGATTACAGGCATAATCGGACTCTGGCCAGCTCAGCCCGTGGTGCTGGGGATCGAACCACACTTGCCTAAGCTTGCCTAAGCAGGTGTGTTAGTATGCTAGCTATCTCACCAGCCCCAGGAAGTATACATTGTAAATCACTTTTGTTAGTTGCAAAATCTAACTTTCAAAATCTCCTCCTCCTTTATGTTAAAAACTGGCTTCCTTATGTCTTTCCAGATGAGTGTTCTCTTAATGCTTTTCTTCATACAGTCTGTCCTTTGGCCAGACTTGCTTGCAGTGTTTTCAGCTCATCTCGGTCTACCTCTGTGCCTTTGCTATAGCTGTTCCTTCAGTGTGCAACAAACATCTTTCTCGAACCCCTCTTCCATTGAAATAGGTATTTGCAAAGACTTTGCTCCGATACCATCTCTGCCAGCCATTTTCCTTAACATAATTAGTCTAGCCTTCCCCAGATCTGAATTTATGTTAACTTTGCGATTTACCCACATAAGTTTCGTTTGTGATACATATTTTAAAAGTCTTTCGCTAAATTGTAAGCTGCACAGGATAGGGAATGAGTCTTGTCATTGTTTTTTGTTTTTGTCTTGTTTTGTTTTTTCAATTTTTTTTTTTTTTAGTGTATTAAGGACAGGGTCTACAGGGTCTCACTACACAGATCAGACTCATAGTGATCCTCTTGTTTTCAGCCTCCTAAGTCCTGGCATTACAGGCACACACCACCAGGCCCAGTCTGGATTGCTGTCTCAGTGTGCCACCGGGGGCGGAGCTGGCACAGCGCCCTGGAGATCGAACCCCATCTCTGCATCTGCCTAAGCAGTTGCTTTAATCCACTGAGCTATCTGTCCAGCCCTTGTTTTATTTTTGAGACAGGGTCTCGCTGTGTAGTCCAGACTGGTCTTGACTGTAGAGCAATATTCTTGTCTCAGCCTCCCAAGTGCTGGGATTACATTTATGTGCCATCACACTGGGCTCTTGTCATTGTTTTAGTGCCTCGTGCAAATACAGCATACAGTGACAATTGCCTAATTGGCAGTCTTATAGGTTAAAAAGTAATTCTCATGAAAAGTTGGAAAATACACTTAAAGGTCTTAGATGTTTCCTGGTTGCTACAAATTCACTTTGTATAACTGTATTTATACTACCAAAGTAAACATCCGAAAGTTCTGATATTGTTAAGTGGAAGTTTTCCAAATGAGGTTTTAGAGAAGAGTTTAGCTTGTGGCTTTGGAAGAGCTTATATATTTACTAAAGGTATTGCAATAGTCCTCTCTTAGTTATGATTTCACTTTCTGAAATCCTGTTAGCCAAATATTAAATGGAAAATTCTAGAAATAAACAACTCATCAATTTTAAATTACATGAGTTTCTGAGTAGCACAGTGAAATCTTTGCCATCCCACTTTGTCCTGCCTGGTATGCAAATCTTCTGTTTGTCCAGCATTTTCACCCTGTATATGCTACCTGCCTGTTAGTTGCTTAGGAGCTCACTTAATTATCTTATTGGCCATCATGGTATTAGAGCATTTTGTTAAGTAAGGCTCTGATTTTGGTTAAATGGCTCTAAAGTATAAGAATGGTGATGCTGGCATTTCACATATGTCAAAATAAACAATAGAGTCCTTCCTGTAAACTTTCAATAAGGAAAGAATAAAGAAGTTGTATATGTGCTTACTAAAATCTACAATAAGAAAAAGTCTTCTATTCATGAAATTGTAAAGAAGGAAAATAAATTTGTGCTAGTTTTGTTGTCATACCTCACAGTGTAAAAGTTTTGTAGTTTATTATAGTTACTGCTGTTAATTTCTTACAATGACTTACTGTGCTGTATGTGTATATATAAAGGTAAAATTGTATTTGGGATTTGGTGCTATCTGCAGTTTATACATTTTAGGAGAGGCCTAGAACATATCCCCTGTGGAAAAGAGGGCACTCTTGTAATCCCTTTGGTTATTGTTTGCAGTTTGAAGCATAGGACAGAAGTAGTGCCAGTTTCATAAGGCTATGGCCCTTGGTGATTTTTAAGAAGTTAGTGAAGAGGGATGGATATTATCCTTGATACTGTGTTAAGATCTCATTTGTCACCCATGTTTTATGCTGGGTAGTCAACTCTTAGCTACCCAACCACCAACTGTAGACTCAGACCCAGAGTTCTTTGGGGGAGTTATGGGCAAAGGATCCCATGTGGAACACCCAGTAATGGTACTTTACACTTGGTTTCTGGTATGGCTCTTTCTAGGAGGTTTCAAGCTCTGTGCAGCTTCTGACATGCAGAGGCTTGAAGAAGGCCAGCAGCCTGATCACAGGAAGGAAAGATGTCAAGAGAAAGCTTACATTTCCCCCATCTCAGTGCACAGTGAGAGGAAGAGATCTTAAGCAGGGTAGAAACCCCATTCCACTGGTTATTACCGCTCTGTTCCAGCTTGTCCTTGCAGTGGGCGAGGGAATTATGCTCACATTAATTAGTCCCAAAAATAG